ATCTTCTCCCTCAACTCCCAACAAGCACAGCCAGCAAAAGCCACTCAAATGGTATGTGAATGTGTGTTTTTGGGTTTCAGAATGTAGTGTTTGAATCTGTGTATGTGTATCTGTAAATCTTTATGTCTGTGTGTGTCTATATGTGTGTACCTGTATTTCTGTCTATTTGTGCGTGTGTGTGTGTGTATGTAAGTCTGTGTATTTGTGTGTGCGTTGTTATGTCTGTGTATCTGTGTGTGTCTGTATATCTGTATGTCTGTGTATCTGTCTGTGCCAGTTTGTGTATCTGTATTTTTGTGTATGTATCTGCATGTGCTGGCTATCTTTCCCCTGTTTGTGTCTGTGTATCTGTCAGGGCCAGTCCAGGCTCCAGTGGGTGAACCTCTCTTCCTCCAGAGAGTTAAGCAGGAAGAGCTCAGAGAATCCAAGGGAGTATAGTGATTATAGCAATCCATTGTAGTGGTATAGCAGTTTCCCCCAATAAGAGACAAGACTCTGGATTGAGGGTGAAGTAAGTCTGTTTAATGGAAGCCACATTGGCCTTTAATGCAGGTTTCCCAACAAGGGTGACGCCCAGGTGGACCTTGTTGGGCTTACAACCAATGAATGTGACAATGAATGCCTGTGCCTCTGCCTGTGATATAATTAAGGCAGATAATGCATTAACTTAGCCCCTTAAGGACTGAGCCAAATGTACACGTTGTGATCAAAACAAAACGTAAACAAAAACTTGAAATTGCGCTATATGTCTGTTCAGACGTAATTCATCTCTTTCATATTATGTGCACCCACACTTATTATATATCATTTTATTCAGGGGTAACAGAGCTTTCATTTAACATCAAATATTTAGGTATAAAAAATAATTTAACATGAATAAAATATAAAAAAATGAGAGAAAATAAGAATTTAAAAAAATGTTTAGTTCTACGTGACATTCTAACTGTGAATGTCATAATACTGTTTGCTTTTACTGCAATAAAATACACATATTTGTATTCAGCAATGTCTCACGTGTAAAGCAGTACCCCCTATGTACAGGTTTTATGGTGTTTTGGGAAGTTACAGGGTCAAATATAGCATGTTAGAATTTCCGTTTTTTTCACATTGAAATCTGCCAGATTGGTTACATTGCCTTTGAGACCATATTGGAAGCCCAGGAATGAGAATTACCCCATGATGGCATACCATTTGCAAAAGTAGACAACCCAAGGTATTTCAAATGGGGTATGTTCAGTCTTTTTTAGTAGCCACTTGGTCACAAACACTGGCCAATATTAGTGTTAATATTTGTTTGTGTGTGAAAAATGAAAAAAAACTAATTTGAACGCCAATTTTGGCCAGTGTTTGTGACTAAGTGGCTACTAAAAAAGACTGGACATACCCCATTTGCAATACCTTGGGTTGTCTTCTTTTGCAAATGGCATGCCATCATGAGGGTAATTCTCATTCCTGGGCTACCATACAGTCTCAAAGGCAACATAACCAATCTGGCGAATTTCAATGTGAAAAGCTGAAACGCAAGCCTTATATTTGACTCTGTAACTTTTGAAAACACCAGAAAACCTGTACATGAGGGGTACCGTTAAACTCACGAGACTTCGCTGAACACAAATATTAGTGTTTAAAAACAGTAAAATGTATTACAACAATTATATCGTCCGTGTAAGTGCCATTTGTGTGTGAAAAATGCAAAAAAATTCACTTTCACTGATGATATCATCATTGTAATACATTTTACTGTTTTGAAACACTAATATTTGTGTTCAGCGAAGTCTTCTGAGTACAACAGTACCCCCCATGTACAGGCTTTATGGTGTCTTAGAAAGTTACAGGGTTAAATATAGTGCTAGCAAATTAAATTCCCTGGACTTTCGGCCTGGGTTGTCAGGCAGGTCCAGCAAATTGTAATTAACAAAATTACCTTATTATGTAAAATTATTACATAAATACGTAGAATTATTATATATACGTGTATATATATATATATATAATTTTTAAAATTATTTTTATTTATATATAGGTATATATATTTAGTGATATATACGTATATACTTATGTATATAGATATATATATTATTTTGTTCTACATGTATTTTGATATCAATATATATATATATATATATATATATATATATATATTAATTTTAAAATACAGTTAGAACGAAATTACACATATATGTATATTTTTATTTATTTTTTAGTTTATTTTTTAACGTATTTACATATATATTTATTATATATAAATATATATATAATGATAATTATATATATATATATATATATTTAATCAATATCATTTTACATGTACTTTGATATTAGTATATATCATATATATATATATATATATATATATATATAAAATTATATATATATATTAATATAAAAATACTTAGACTATGTATGTGTATTTATGTGTACGTGTGTATATGTGTATATATATATATATATATATATATATACTTAGATCATATACATAGTAAATATATATATATATATGATCTAAGTATATATAATTTAATTTTAAACTGTTTTAAACTGTTTTATTTTTTTTATCAGGCAGCAGGGGGAGTACCTGTCATTACATGCACTCCCCCTGCTGGCACTGCCTCAGACGGCTATGCTGTCCATGTGATTGTGAAGTCCTGAAGAGGAAGGAGAGGGACTTCCTGGGCTCCCAGGTAAGTCCCCATACAACGAACGCCGACATGGGATCGCCGGCGACTGGGTAAGTACATAGGACGGCAAGGACGTGCTATGCTGCCCCCCAGCGTTTAGAGCCGGTTCCCTAAGGACAGCATAGCACGCCCGCTGTCCTTAAGGGGCTAATTATCCCCAGGCAGAAAAAACATACATTTTTATGTAGTCCAAAAAGTACCCCAAAATACAACATATTCCCATACCTTGATAGCCCTGATCTGGGTGAACAACATATCCAAAAATCACCCAGATCGGTTCAGGGGTTCAGGAATTTCCTGTAAGTCATAGTTTTGACCCACGCCCCATGCCCAAAACAGTTCCAGAGAATTAGGGCTAAAGGTCGGTCTCTCTGTCTGAAGAACAAAAGTACATACTTGGGCAAGGTATATTGCAAGGCCCATATTCCTGAGGCAAGAGCCTGGACAGCAGGCCCCTCCAAAAGCCAGTGACGAGATTACTTTCGTCACAGGCATATAGAGAGGGAGGCTAATTTGGGGTTGGCCGGGTCCACAGTGTTATGACATCACTGAAGTTCTGGAACTCTCAGAATACTAGCTGTGCATGCCAGAACTTCAGTGGGAACTTTACTCACAGCAATTTGCGGCAGGGCTGCTGCTTTGGGCTTGCTCTCGGGAACGGCATAATTCTCCTTTTTGTCTGGCTACGTGTGCTGAAAGGGTAAGTCAGGGCTCGACAAATCTCAGGCACCAGGTCACAATAGCGACTAGAAATTTCTCCCTGGTGCCTAGGATTTGACAGCTATTTAGTTAATGTGGCCGCCAGAGCTTTGAAGGCGGCTGTCGCGGGGAATATTGCAGCCGGCTGCCCTTGGGAGCATGGAGGCGGCCAGCTGAAGCAGCAAGGAGGAGGCCGCCGGCTGAGGCAGCATGGAGCTGCCCGCCCTGAGGAGGATGGAGGAGGCCGACTAAGGCAGGATGGAGCTGGCCGCCTGCGGGAACATTGTAGGCAGCATGAGAGGGAGCAGTAGTCTGCCTGTAGCTCCTCTCTGCTCTCTCGCGCTGTTTAATGATGCCAGGAGATGGAATATGACGTCACTCTGGCCCCAGCATCATGATAGAAAGAGCGGGGGAGCAGAGAGGAGCTGCAGGAAGAGTACTTCTCCCTCGCACGCAGGAAGAGAGCAGAAACACTCAGCCCTCCCAAAGGTAAGAGGCAGAGTGGAGTTCAATTAAAACAAAAATGCAAATGTGTGTTAGCATGTCACAGTGTGTGTGTGAGCCTGTCAGAGTGAGTGTGTGTGAGCCCGTCAGTGTGTGTGTGTGTGTGCAAGCCTGTTGTCAGCATGAGTGTGAATGTGAGCCTGTCAGAGTATGTGCGCGTTTAGGTACCTGACCCCTCTGATTGCATGAGGAAGGTGTTTTTACTCAACTTTGTTCCCACGCCATGCCTGGTTCGCCGCAGCTGGTCCCACCTCCATGGCTAATCTTTATGATCTCAGCTAAACAAATGCTTTCCCTTAGGAAAGCATTGGGAGGAACATTCAGCAGAGCTTGGAGACACTGAACGTAAGTGCTGCACATGGTGCAGCAGTGACCCAGGACTCTCTAGTGGCCACCTGAGTGACTGTTACTTGATGTGTTACTAAGCAGCAATGTAAACCCTGCCTTTTCGCTGAAAAGGCAGTGGTTATACTGAAAAGCCTGCAGGAACAGGTTATAGACACCAGAACAACTACATCAAGCTTAGTGGTTCTGGTGACTATAGTGTCCCTTTAAGAATTGCATTTTCTCGTTGAAAATGTCTGGCTCCTAACTTTTTTAGCTGGCTCCTAGATTCCAAACAAATATGTCAAGGGGTAAATAATTATTAGCTTCAATGAACACAATGTGCTGCACATAGCAATTCCAATTCCAGCACACAGAGACACACTACATCCCCAACACACATACAGACACACTACATTTCCAGCACACACACACTACATCCCTAGCCTCATGCAAGGCCCCCCCATAAGTCATCTTAGGACAGACTAACACATTGGGTCCTCCGTCAGAGACCGAGGGCCCTACACAGGAGGGGGCCAGGCGCCTTGCCCTTTATGCTGCCGGGTGCAAGGGTGCACCGCCTGCCTGGGAGAGAGCCAGCCTGTCTGCAGCTCTGCTGGGTGCATTGACTGTATACCACCACTGAAAAAAGGCGCCGATCAAGATGTTATTAAACAAAGAGGCGTTTTGTATTCATGAACTTGGCACTGTATCCCCAAAAGGCCTTAAAGGACCACTCTAGGCACCCAGACCACTTCAGCTTAATGAAGTGGTCTGGGTGCCTGGTCCAGCTAGGGTTAACCCATTTTTTTTATAAACATAGCAGTTTCAGAGAAACTGCTATGTTTATAAATGGGTTAATCCAGCCCTCAAATCCTCTAGTGGCTGTTTCATTGACAGCCGCTAGAGGCGCTTGCGTGATTCTCACTGTGAAAATCACAGTGAGAACACGCAAGCGTCCATAGGAAAGCATTGTAATTGCGGCGTGTGCACATTCAGCCGAAAGGGAGGAGAAGAGGAGGATCGGAGGCGGAGAGCTCCCCGCCCGGCGCTGGTGAAAGGTAAGTTTAACCCCTTTCCTCTCCCCAGAGCCCGGCGGGAGGGGGTCCCTGAGGGTGGGGGCACCCTCAGGGCACTATAGTGCCAGGAAAACGAGTATGTTTTCCTGGCACTATTATGGTCCTTTAACGAATCAATTCCATATTATTCTTTTTTGTGAAAGTTATAATTATTTTGATACGTATATTTGGCTTGCAATTGATACTTGTTTTTAGCTTTTAAATGAAGAAGGGATGTGACTTAGATTTTCTAAGTGATTATAACTGTTTATTAGTGTGATTATATGGAATATCTACAGAGTACAAACAGGGTTACCCACAGTACTTTATGATTAATATTTAGTTATTCATGTAAAAATAACCAATTTAGTTACTATTTATTTGAGAGGATAAGACAGCAGGTCCAGTACCCTTTGACTGGACAGCAGGTCCAGTACCCTTTACAGATGTTGTTTTAAAATACATGGAATACATATTGTTTAATCATGCATAATGTGAAGTATATCTGCACTTGTCACTGTAAAGGTCACTGAAAGCACTGTATTGAATCAGCACTTCAAATATCACAGGCACTTTGTCTCAACAAAACGGCACCATGTTACGTTTTGTAGGCGGAGCTTGCATGCGCATGTACCCGGAACCCAGTATACCGCCGCCAGCACTTCACCTGTGTGAGTCTATTTTTCACTTATTTTTTACCTATATATTTGGCAATGATTGTGTATGTATTTTGTGTTTGATCCGGAGGAAAGTCCTAGATGCAGGACTGAAATATCGATCTGATCTTTTAATGCATACTTAATAAACTGAAGTTTTATGGAAGACCGTGAGTGCAGCTTTTTCCCCTTTTGACTTGGATAATTTCAGCCCTGGCTGGCACTCGGAATTTACAACCCTTTAGCCCGTGTGCAAGGACTTTTTGCTTTTTTATATATATATATATATATATATATATATATATATATATATATATATATATACACAGTATCTCACAAAAGTGAGTACACCCCTCACATTTTTGTAAATATTTTATTATATCTTTTCATGTGACAACACTGAAGAGATGGCACTCTGCTACAATGTAAAGTAGTAAGTGTACAGCCTGTATAACAGTGTAAATTGGTTGTCCCCTCAAAATTACTCAACACACAAGCACAAAAGTGAGTACACCCCTAATTAATAATGTCCAAATTGCCCAAAGTGTCAATATTTTGTTTGGCCACCATTATTTTCCAGCACTGCTTAAACCTTCATGGGCAAGGAGTTCATCAGAGCTCGTCATGGAGGAGTCCTCTTCCACTCCTCCATGACGACATCATGGAACTGGTGGATGTTAGAGACCTTCCATTCCCCACCTTCCGTTTGAGGATGCCCCACAGATGCTCAATAGGGTTTAGGTTTGGAGACATGCTTGGCCTGTCCATCACCTTTACCTTCAGCTTCTTTAGCAAGGCAGTGGTCATCTTGGAGGTATGTTTGATGTCGTTATCATGTTGGAATACTGCCCTGCGGCCCAGTCTCCGAAGAGAGGGGATCATGCTCTGCTTCCTTATGTCACAGTACATGTTGGCTTTCATGGTTCCCACAATGAACTGTAGCTCCCCAGTGCTGGTAGCACTCATGCAGGCCCAGACCATGACACTCCCACCACCATGATTGACTGTAGGCAAGACACACTTGTCTTTGTACTCCTCACCTTGTTGCCGCCACACACACTTGACACCATCTGAAACAAATAAGTTTATCTTTGTCTCATCAGACCACAGGACATGGTTCCAGTAATCCATGTCCTTAGTCTGCTTGTCTTCAGCAAACTGTTTGCGGGCTTTCTTGTGCATCGTTTTTAGAAGAGGCTTCCTTCTGGGACAACAGTCATGCAGACTAATTTGATGCAGTGTGCAGCGTATGGTCTGAGCACTGACAGGCTGACCCCCCCACCCCTTCAACCTCTGCAGCAATGCTGGCAGCACTCATACGTCTATTTCCCAAAGACAACCTCTGGCTATGACGATGGGCACATACACTAAACTTCTTTGGTCGACCATGGCGAGGCCTGTTCTGAGTGGAACCTATGAAACCTCTGTATGGTCTTGCCCACCATGCTGCAGCTCAGTTTCAGGATATTGGCAATCTTCGTATAGCCTAGGCCATCTTTATGTAGAGCAACAATTCTTTTTTTCAGATCCTCAGAGAGTTCTTTGCCATGAGGTGCCATATTGAACTTCCAGTGACCAGTGTGAGAGCGATAACACCAAATTTAACACACCTGCTCCCCATTCACACCTGAGACCTTGCACACTAATGAGTCACATGACACTGGCGAGGGAAAATGGCTAATTGGGCCCTGTTTGGACATTTACACTTACGTGTGTACTCACTTTTGTTGCCAACGGTTTAGACATTAATGGCTGTGTGTTGAGTTATTTTGAGGGTACTGCACATTTACACTGTTATACAGGCTGTACATTTACTACTTTACATTGTAGCAGAGTGCCATTTCTTCAGCGTTGTCACATGAAAAGATAATAATAATTAAATATTTACAAAAATATGAGGGGTGTACTCACTTTTGTGAGATACTGTGTATATATGCACACACACATACATATATACACACACACACACAAACACAAACAAACACACACACAAAGGGACTCCCCCCTTCCCTACCTTACCGTGATTGGACTAACGAGCTGCAGGCTGATGATACTGTCTGGTTAAGTACAGAACAATTTACTTCCAGTTCAAAGATCATCAACACAAACTTCCTAAACTCCAAACAAGTTGGTCTTGGCCTAGTGTGGCCCACACAAGTATTTGTTTTAACTCACTCTAGTAAAAAAAAACCAAAAAAAAAAACAACCACCTCACTAGAAGCTCATGGGGCACTGCCACATCCAGCCCAGCCACGGCTTCTATAACTGTTGTTTTTTCAACAAAACCGTAAGTTTGTTTGTTCAGCCATTCGGATATGGCGAATTTCACTACTAATGCAAATTCAGCCTATTTCAATCGTACATAGCATCACAGCGATGCCTAATTTTACAGCAAGACAGGAGGCTTCATATTTACTTATCTTTCTTTACTGAACCTCCCAGCAGCAAAGAAGTAGTTAACAATGATGTAAAAAGTTTAACCAATCAGAGTGTATAACAATATTATATGATGTCATCAATCTCCTCCCAATTCCTCTTTCTTTGCTGCTTGCCTCCCAGGTGAGTCTTTTCAAATTATATTGCTACTCAGTTTTTCCTGTATACCATATATTAACAGTTTTATCTATATCTACACTTAATATTTATTTATAGTTTGAACCCTTTCCTTTTATAGTTATAAATTAAATTAAAGGTCTAGATATAGTAGTAAAATAATAAAATAAATTTTGCTAAAATATATGATATGCTAAAATACTACTTAATACTACTATTATTTCCAGCTATTTTTCAGATGTGAACGGTCGGAATTTCACAGCTGTTTTTTACATACCGGATTTGGTAAGTACTGTCTTCTTTTCATTTTAGCACAATTACTGTGCTAGTAGTTTATTAGGCATTTATCCATTTTATTTAACTATTTATTTTCAGTTTAAACAAAATTATCACAAAACCTGCTGTACCACTTTTTTTCAAAAATAAAGGAGGGCTTTTGTGGGTGACCCCCACTTATATTCTGTATTTATAGAAATAGTAAAAACACATTTATTGCTACTCAGTTAAGGTGTACCAACACCAATATTAAAGTGGGTGACCCCCACTTAACTTTATGATGATAATAAATTTACAGGTGAATTCCACCTTCTGATTTCATAGTGGTAACCCCACTCTCTATTTATAATATTATGGCGATACCTACTTTGTTTGACCCTTACAAGTGGTTGCTCCCACTTGCTGTTATTACTACAGTGGTTCAACCCACTTATTATAATTTAGTGGCTAACCCCACTAACTATTTGTGTTTCCGCCCTTACAAATATCTCTAATCTCATTTGGGTGACCCCCATTCATTGCACAGTCTCTTTTCATTTAATTACTATAGTACTACCACAAATAAGACCCACTATGTCTGATAACACTGAGCCTGCTATCTCACAAGTACTTCGAGCATGGCTACTATTGCGGAATCTATTCCCAAGGCACTAGCAGCCTTCCATGACAAAACTTCTACCGAAGTTAACCCCACTGCGGGCTTGCGCTCTGATTCTGAGGACTCTCAGCCTTCGGATCAGGAGGAGGTCACGCGCAAATGCTCCTGGAAAGGGGATAGTGTTTCTGCAGGCAAGGTCAAGGCTCCCGCCAAGTCACTTAAATTGTCTTTCACTCGCCCCACCCAGGCTACTTTAGACCCCTTAGAGGGCTCAACATCTAATACAGGCAATCCTCGGAGTCTTCTGCGAATGCGCTATGGGACCCCTCGTTGGTCATTTAGCCCAAGGAACCAGATTCAGACACCCTTTTGGATGCTTCGGGCGTTCCCTTCTTTGACCCTAGAGTCATCAGACATCCTGGGGTCATGAGGGGTCTTGGGGGGCCCGTACTGCTTTGGCAGTGCAGGCCCCCACAATTACTCTCTGCAAATATATATAGCGATGATCGCTGTATATACGTGCAGTGCAGGTGAAGCCCCGGGCCCCCGGTTCTCTGTACTTGCAGAGGGGGTCCAGCAGACTGCAAGTGTACTTACAAGCTCTTTCCTCTCTGTAACACCTGCGGCCGTCAAAGCGTTGCCACGGGTTACCACGGCAACGCTCCGCGTGGCACGCATGCCGCGCTCGCGGGAGTTACAGAGAGGGAAGAGCTTGTAAGTACACTTGCAGTCTGCTGGGCCCCCTCTGCAAGTACAGAGAGCCGGGGGGCCCACAATGCCACCGGACCACAAGGGATTATGGAATCTCCCCCCTCCCTGAACCAGGTAAAAAGCAGGGAAGGGGGGAATTACATTTATCACTTTTAAAGTGAGGAGTGGGAGGGAGGGGAGGAATGCTCCATTTACACTACATTTTGCTAAAATATATGATATGCTAAAATACTACTTAATACTACTATTATTTCCAGCTATTTTTCAGTGCCCAAACCGCAATACATGCCAAAAAAATTTCTCCTTAAAGTGCCAACACGGCAATTAAACCCAAATACTGAGGTTTAAGTTTAGAAAAAAACAACTCGTACTGTTGTCCGAACTAATAACTTTTGTTTTAAAAGAACACAGAGAGTTCAATGATACAAATTTTAAATAATGATATAAATAGATAAAATTAAGCTTATATTTATTAGTATCTCCAACAAATGCAATACATACACAGACAGACTGCTGAATACACACACACAAGACTGCTGAATACAGAGACTGATGAATACACATACAGACAGACTGCTGAGTACACACACACACACAGACTGCTGAGTACACACACACACACAGACAGACTGCTGAGTACACACACACACACAGACTGCTGAGTACACACACACACACAGACTGCTGAATACACACACACACAGACTGCTGAGTATACACACACACAGACTGCTGAGTACACACACACACACAGACCGCTGAATACACGCAAACACAGACAGACTGCTGAATACACGCACACACACACAGACTGCTGAATACACACATACTGCATTGAGGTGGGGGGTGCGTGTGTGTGTGAGTGTTGTATGTGAGGGGTGCTGTGTGTGTGTGGGGGGGTGCTGTGTGTGTGTGCTATATGTGTAAGGGTGCTGCTATAGAGGTAGGGGTACTGTGGGGGTGTGCGGAGGGGTAGGGGTACTGTGTGTGGGGGGTAGGGGTACTGCTGGGAGGGTAGGGGTACTGTGTGTGGGGGGTAGGGGTACTTCTGGGGGGGGTAAGGGTGCTGTGTGT